CGTGTCTGTCCCGTCCCGTCCCTCCCCCCGCCCCCCCCGCCTGTCTGTCCTGGGGACCCTGGGGCTGCCCCCGCCCTGAAGAAAAGTGCCTCCTGAGATTGATGCCTACCTGATTAACCCTTCAGACCCCAGGACAGTGCTGTTGCTTGGGCCGGCTGTACTGGGCTCCCAGCCCTGCTCTTACTGGCCAGACCCCCCTCCCCCACCCCTGGCAGGAGTCCTGGCTCCCAGCCCCCACTGCCCCCTGGGATCAGGGAGCCCCTCGGGGCTGACGGCTGTTCCTGCCCCTGCAGGAGCCGGTGAAGCCGGAGGAGGGCCGGGACATGGCCGGCCGGATCAGCGCCTTCGGGTACCTGGAGTGCTCGGCCAAGACAAAGGACGGGGTGCGCGAGGTGTTTGAGATGGCCACGCGGGCCGCCCTGCAGGCCAAGCGCGGGCAAAAGAAGCCCCACTGCCAACTGCTGTAACCCCCCTGCTCCCACCAGGCCCTCCCTCTGACCCCCTGCTTGGGGGAGGGGGCGGGAGCTCAGGGCCCCTCATCACAGCCCCACGGCTTCTCGGGTAGAGCCGCCCATCTCCTCTGGCTGCCACAGCTGTGTGGGGTGATTCGTGGCACAGCCCCCCTCAATCCCAGCCATGGGGAGGCCCCCAGCCTCTCTCCCTGAATGGTTTGGGGGGGGCGGGGCTGCCCCATGGCAGCTCCACTGCCTCCTGGTGGCTGTGCCCCAGCCCTCCCAGTCCCCCCTCAATGGGAGCCTGACATCACGGGGCTGCCCTGCCCCTTGTGACCCACAGCCCCCTGCTGAGGGGCTCAGGTGTCTACTGTGCCTCTCCTGGGCTGTGGGAGGGTGGCTCACAGCACAGTGCCCCTGGGGCGGGGGAGTGGGCGCTGCCCCCTGCTGTACAGATTTCTTCCTCCTCCTCCTATTTATCTCTTGCCAAGCGGGGGCCCCCCCAGAGAACTCTATATTTTTATGCAGAGGCGTTGTGGGCCGCTTTGCCCGTGGAGGGCACCTGGCTCCCCCCACCCCCCCACGGGTCCCGGGCCCTCCGCCCTAGCAAGTGCCACAGGTGGGGCGCTGCGGGCGCCAGGCCGCTCTGTGCTCCCCGGGGACGGTGGTCGTTACTTTTCAACTGTACTTGAAAGACGAACAGCTCTGTAATAAATTTGTAGCAATGTTTAGTATTGGGGGGGGCTCTGGCTGTTTGTGGCTAGTGCGGTTCCTCACATCACAGCCCTGGGCTCCCCCATATCTCATCCTGATCCCCTCTCCAGCCAGCTCTGCCCCCCTGGGCCGTGCTGGGGTCACACTAGCCTGAATCAGTTCTACCCCCTGCCACCAGCTGGAGGGGGGGGGGGCAACTCTCCAGTCACCTCAACAACCTGCCCGCTGAGCTGCCCCCCATCCCCTTCATCTTGCTGTTCCCTGGGGCAGAGGCCCCCCCAGTGGCCCCTGGCCTGAGGGAGCAGGCTGCTTCGCGGGGGGAGACGGTACAATCCTGTGCTGCAGGTTCCTGCTCTGGGTGGTGGCAGCACGGCCCTGGCGCCTGTGTCAGGTGCTGTACGCGTGAGGGGTTCTGGAGGGAGTGTGCTGGGTATTGTGGCCACTTCTGGGCCAGGGCAGCAGTGGCAGGGCACCCCATAACGCAGCCTAGCTGGGGCTCGGCTGGTGCTGAAATGCACCCAGCTCTGGGGCGGAGCTGGGGCTGGGCTCACGTGAGCAGTACCTGCCTGGCCCTGGCGTGCTGTGAGGGCCTGTGGTGATGAGCACCTAACGTGGGGGTGGGGAGTTGGCACTGCTGAGTCACACCCATCCCTGGCAGGGCCAGGCCTGGACAGTGCGGGGGGGGGGGGGGAGGTACTTCCTTCCTGCACCCCCAGGGCTGACCCCCAGAGATTCCCCCAGTGCAGCAGGGTGACTCCCTGCGAGCTGGGGGGGGGAATGTCGGAGGGAGCAAAGGGTGAAGAGGGGGTGGCCCGTGTGGGTGGGGGCTGGTTGTCTGGGTGCTGCCAGGCCCCACCCCAAGGAGCCACATGGGGGGTTGTGCCACTTTCCACCCTCCCCCAGCCACCCTGACCCCCGAACTCTGGACATGGGGGGAAGGGGCAGATGGCCCCTGGGAGTCCAATGCTGGCTCCAGCACAGCAGCCTATGCCCCCAAGTGCCCACTCCCCTCCCCAGAGCTGGAGAGGGAACCCAGGAGTCCTGGCTCCCAGATTCAGTGGGAGGGGGGACCGGGGTCTCTAGGGCTGCACTCAGAGCTTGAAGCGTCCCCCGGGCAGCTCCATACGAGGTACCAGGATAAATGCGCCTTACCAAGAAAAGAGGCGGCTGCTTCCCACAGCGGGAGTCGAACCGGGGCCGCCTGGGTGAACACCAGGAATCCTGAGCGGTAGGCCACGTGGGACAGGTCTGCTGCGGCTCCGGCCTGGGCCCCGGCAGCGGGCGCCGCAGCGCCACCCACTGGGGAAGGAGGGTACTGCACCATTAACCTCCCACCCCCAAGGGACAGGCCCCTCATAGCAGCGAGCCCACATGCTCCCAGGCAGCCCTGCTCAGGGCCCGGGAGCGCTTCTAATCCAGAGTCACGCCGGAGCAGGCTCAGAAGCCAGCCCTGACCCCGTTGGAGACACAGGGCAAGTCTGCCTGGAACAGGGGCTGAGCGGAGATCACAAACCAGCCAGAACCCAGGAGTCCTGGCTCCTGGCCCTGCTTCCCCCCAAGACCCCACAGCCATCTCCGAGCCGGGGAGAGAACCCAGGAGTCCTGGTTCCCAGCCCCCCCCCCCGCACTCTAACCACTAGACCTCACTCCCCTCCCAGAGCCTGTGGTGTCCTTTCTCCAGGCCAGTTCAGGGTGGCCGTGTCCCCACCGGGCCCCACATGGGCTGGGTGGGGCAGGAGGCTGGTTCGTGCCCAGGGGAGAGGCAGATTTTCTCTTTAACATTTCCAAGGCCTGGACATCTCCGAGCGCCGCCCCGAGCCCCCCACCTCACCGCACGGGACGAGCACTCCACGCAGCAGGGGCTTCCACGGACCCCACAGCGCAGTGGGGCAGGGGACACAGAGCAGGGCCAGACCCTCCGGCAGGGATGGACGGACGGACACACCAGAGCAGCGATCCCAGTTTATTGACGTGGGCAGCGGCGGTTACAATACACCCAGCTGTGGGGGGCGAAAGCCGAGGGGGGGCGTTGGCTGCACTACCCCTCTCTGGCCAGCAGCTGGCGCTTTCTCTCCAGCAGCGCCCGATACTGTGCCCGCGTGGCCTCGATGTCGCTCTGTAGGCTGGCGATCTCCCCGGCCAGGAGAATCCCTGCGCGGAGACGGGGGTCAGGAGAGGGGGTCCGGAGGGGGGGGAAGGGGACCTGTCCCCTCTGGGGGGCGCCGGCTCCCATCGGCCCCAGGGCAGGGACTGGCTGGCTCAGGGGGGCGGGGAATGGGGCAGGGACTGGCTGGCTCAGGGGGGCGGGGAATGGGGCAGGGACTGGCTGGCTCGGGGGGCAGGGAATGGGGCTGGGGCCCAGGGCTTGTCCCCTCTAGGGGGCGCTGGCTCCCATCGGCCCCAGGGCAGGGACTGGCTGCCTCAGGGGCAGGGAATGGGGCCCGGGGCCCAGGGCCTGTCCCCTCCAGGGGGCACCCTGCACTTACCCTCTTTGAAGCTGCTCTGAGCCTGCCGGAGGCTCTGGGGCACCAGGATCCCGAACCAGGTCAGTGGGTCCCGGGACGAGGCCCCGTTCTGGGAATCTGGTTCGGGGGCTGCCTCCACGGGGGGGCCAGGATCCGCAGTTTTCCCTGGGCCCTTTCGCTGCCGCAAGACTGGGGAGACATTCACCAAAATGTGTCTCACAACCTCCACCCCCCCAGCTCTGC